GACGGTGCAGGAGGGGAAGACCCTCTATGAGGTGGATTGATTCAGTGACTGGGGTAATCGGGATGGGTGTGTCAGAGGCAGTGAGATTGGCACAGGATAGAGCAAGGTTTAGGGCTATGTTGTATATAGGGTTGCTATGAGTCGCAAGTGACTCGACGGCACATAACAACAAGAACATGGTTCTTTGAACTATAGTTTTAATGAATTGTATCCATGAACTGAAGCATTTTTATTTTTCTTCTTTACCTGTTGCCCTTGAATATCACAGGAATATCACTTTTCTAGAAACATCTCAATGAAATAAACAAACAAAAAAGGAAGTAGAGTAAATTCTCTAGAGAAGAAAACACAGTCCCTTTACTCCTTATGACTGTCCTCAGTAACTCTATAAGGCACTAGTTCAGAATTTTTACCAACTAAAAACCCCACCAAACCCCAAACACTGAAAGACCTATCAAAGTCTTAGGAGCAGTAGTACCTGTTCTACTTTTTCACTGGCAACTGATCCATACAGGAATCCCTGGTGCTACATGTAAACAAGAAGGTGTTTGATGATTTGCCAAAACGTTGGAGGTTTTAATCCACCCAAAGGCTTCTTGGAAAAGAGACTTGGTAAACTGCTTCTGAAAAGGCCTTAAAAGCCCTGTGGAGAAGTTCTACTCTACACACATGCAGTGACATGCAGTTGGAATTGACCACATGGCAGCTGACAACAATGACTGATGCCAGGACAGAAGGTGGAGACCCATGACTGAGGGTGCAGGACCCACAGTCCCCTTCCTGAGATCAGGGCCTTTGTGAAAGGCATGCTTGTGTAACCATTTACCTGCAAGGGTCTGGGATCACTTGTGGTTGTCCCTCCTGCATGACCTGCCGTCGCCAGCTTACGGTGCTAGTGGGCATATTCTGGCCCAGGGTACAGCTGACAAGCTTCAAGATGAGTGTGAATAGCTCTGGGTACAAGCTTGAGACCGAGATGCCGGTTGATACCACTTCCTGCACAGCACAGGCTACCTGAAGCAAGAAGGGAGCTTGTGGTCCTGAGGCTCCTCTATTCCAAGGACATCTTCTCCTTGGATTGCTCTCCAAATGAATTTATTCCCCCAACAATTGCTTTCCAGTTAGCTATGCTCCAGAAAAAGCATGAAGAAGGAGAGTGGTTATTTTTCTGGAAATATCTTAAATTAGAACTGCTATATTAGACGATTCCAATCCTTAAGGGACATCATTAATATAAAATGCAAGATTTCTCCTTATTGGATTTTTCCACAAACATGGGTGTTTGAGATCTCCTGCAGAAAGAGAAATAGAGGCACATAGATTTTCTTTGGGCTGTCGAGAATATTACTTCTAAAAATGATCAGCCACATTGCCATATTAGTGCAACACAGATTGGAATTGAATGGAAATCAGCGTATAAAAGGGGATTGGGTATAATGAAGGCTCCTTTACCAAGTCTCAGGTGGGAGCAGATGATTGTCCAGAGTGGGAAGGGCTGTTGGACTCACTGATAATGCGTCCGCGGTGACTGTGTCATCTTCTAACCCCTTCTCCAGCTTGTCTACCAAGGCTCGCAAGAGTTTACCACTGGAGGCTGGGTTCTCAGCCAGTGCCTTCCAGAGTGTCTTTGTGTCCCTGGCATGGCAAGACAGAGAGCTGATGAAACATAAGGCCTTGCAATTTATTTCCCCCTACTAGTTTATTTCTAAATCATGGTGGTATAGCACTGGTCTGTGCGTTGCTGTACAGAGGTAACTCGTGGTTGCTGTGATGCTGAAGCCTGTGACAGTGATGTGCCAGTCGTAGTAATGGGCACCCATGGTGGACAGTGTTGGCTGGAGCTTCCCGACTAAATCAAGCCTGGAAGCAGGAGCGGCATCCACTTCCAAAATGGCTTGCCTCCGGAACATGTACGAACAGTGTTCAGGCTGTTCATTCATAGGGTCGCTATGAGTCGTCTATGACTCGACGGCATTAAACAACAACAACAAAAACTCGAATACAAATTTGAACAAATGATTTCAATTTTCCTCATACCCGCCATCTAATTGTACAAACCCATGATTAATCCCCCTCTTCCCCCCTGCACATCTACATCCCTCTGCTTCCAGCCTCTCCCACCCCTCCTGGATCATTATACTCATTCTACAATAATGGTTTTATACAATATTTATCCTTGTGGGACTGAGTTAGTTCACTCAGCATAATTTGAGCTTTGTTATTTGGCCCACTCTGAAGCCATAATACCATGAAAGTAAATTTCTAGGGCAGATGAAGACTCTACCAATCTAGCAGCCAGGCCTTGAATAACTGAGGTTATTTAAAGACAGAAACCACTGAGATAGTGCGTTCTTGGTAACCAGAGAGAAGAAAATAGCTATTTCTTAATGTTGGATACTTACTTACTTTTTCTTAAGATGTTTCCCACCCCTTTCAAGGGGAAAATGAAACATGTGACAGTTGAAAATCTTGGGCCTATCTTGTTTTCCTGCCTGACCTTTATTTCCTGCCTTTGAATTTTCTATTGCTGCTTTTATTTCTTGATTTTAAATGTCTTGGAGAAAGTGCAGTCAGAATACAGGCTGGTGGCAAGGATAGCGAAGCTTCATCTCACTCACATGATTTGGTCATATTGCTAAAAGAGGCTAATCCTTGGAGAGGGACATCATGCTTGGAAAGGTGGAGGGATGGCAAAGGAGAGGAAGACCCTCAACTAAGTGGATTGACACAGCAACTATAGCAAGAGGCTTGAGTGTGGGAGTGACACAGGACCGGGCAGGGTTCAGATTTGTTGTTCACAGGGTCACTGTGGGGGGTTATGCTTGCCCGGATGGCACCTAACAACAACAATATTATGATTGGAGTGGCGGTTTACAGAACAGATTGGTATTCCATTCAATCACTCACACGTATTTCGCTTTATGACACTGGGGACAAGCCCCAGGTTGTAACATCATTCCTCCCTGTCTCTCTGTGATAGATACTGTTGCTACAACTTAGAGTAAAATATTTGAGTTTTCCTTCTGATAGGCCTGAGCTTTACACACGCCCTGACTTTGTTAGATTTTACTGTATTATTCATAGAATGTATGTCTTAAACCACTTGGAAAAATATTACATGTTTTCCAAAGGCCAATTTTATTTTATAATTACTATTAAAGTGAGATATTCTCAACCTTTGTATACTGCTTTTATCTTAAATAATAAACCTTTCCCCCTTGCCTCCCAGAAGCAGCCTTTTCTAGGAGAAGAGACCAGCTTAAGCAGGATCTACCTGTCAAAGGGCAGAGGCTTCTGCAAAATGTTGGAAACAACTGCATCAGTGTGGAAGCTGGTTATCTGCGATATGGCTTCTAGCACAAACTGAAAACTTTCTTCCTTCTGTCTGAGAACCGGCATGTGGTGGTAAATAGTGTTCAAGATCTCCAATAGCTAAAAAAGTAAGCGAAACCAATCATTAAATTACTATTTCTACTTCACATGAATGGACCACGGTATGCCCCATCAGCCTATTGTGGCTGGGAGGTTGCTGATGGATTAAAACCTTGGTGTTAGGAGTGCTACGATTTACATATATGCCAACAGAGCGCTCTAATTATTTAGAAATATCTCTCCAAACAAAAAACAATTCTACACATGATCTTTCACTCAGAAATATTATTGATTAGTTATATGTTATTGTTGTTGTTATGTGCCATTGAGTTACCTTTGACTCATAGTGACCCTGTGTACAACAGCTTTGAAGTCTGCTCTGTCCTGAGTCAGTCTCATTAACTCCAACACAACTACCTTCATTTTACCAGTTACTGTATTAATCCATTTCATCTGGGGTCTTCCTCTCCTGTACTGTCCCTCCACCCTTCCAATCATCATGTCCTACAAGGAGTGGTCCCTCCTGGCCATGTACCCAAAGTATGTGAGAGAGAGCTTCAAAATCCTAGCCTCCAAGGAAAAATTTGATTTCACTCTCTCCAAGACAGACCTATTTGTTTTCTTAGTGGTCCATCGTATGTTCAAGACTGTTCTCCAGTATCACAGCTCAAAGGCATTGATTCTTCTTCTGTGATCCTTAGTCATTGTCCAGTTTTCTAATAACACAGCAAGTAATTGTGAAGATCACGGCCCTGTATCAGGTACACCTTAGTCTCTAAACGGATGTAATTTATTCCCAGTACTTTGGAGAGGTCCCTTACAGGGGATTTACTCAGTCCAATTTGTCTTTTGATTTCCTGACTGCTGGTGACAGTATTGTCAATTGTGGAGCTAAGCAAGCTGTAATTGTTAGCAACCTCATCTCTTCTCCACTCATCATGGTGCTGTCAATTGGCTTTTGACTGTTTGATGTTGAGCTTTAATTTATATTGAAGACTACAGTCCTTGACCTTCTGCAGCAAATGCTTCAGGTCCTCCTCAGTTTCCTCCAGCAAAGTTGTGTCCCATGCATAAGGCAGGTTGTTGATGAGTCTTTCTTCAATTCTGATACTGCATTCTTCCTTTTAAAGCCCAGCCTCTTGAATGTTCTTCCACAAATGGATTGAAAAGGTATGGAAACAGGATGCATCCTTGACACTCTCCTTAACTGATTTTGAACATGCAGTGTGTCTTTGTGCTGTTTAGACAACTGCTTCCTGGTTCAAGCACAGGTTTCACATGAGCACAGTCAAGTTTTCTGGGATTTCATTTTCCTCAAGGTTAGCCATAATTTGTCGTGATCCACACAGTCAAATGCCTTTGTATAGTCCTTGAAACACAGATAGACATTCCTCTGGTACTCTTTGGTTTCTGCCAAGACCCGTCTGAAATTGGTGGCAATGTCTCTAGTGCCACACCTCTTCTAAAACCAGATTTTATTTCTGGCGGTTCTCTGTCAATGCACTGTTTCAGTTGTTTTTGCATTATCTTCAGCAGGATTCACTTGTGTGTCATAATAGTAAAATTGTTCTATAATTTCTACACTCTGTGTTGAGTCACTTTTTTGGAATGGGAAAAAATATGGATCTCTTTCAGTCAGTTGGTCAGGTAGTTGTCCTCCAGATTTCTTGACACAACCTGGTGAGCCCATCCAGGGCAGCAACTGCTTGTTGAAATATGTCAGTTGATATTTTTTTTTTTTTTGCCAGTTCCTTCAGAGCAGCCTGAACTTCCTCTTTCATCACTATTACCTCTTTATTATATATTATTTCTTGAAATTCTTCTGTGTCAGCCTTTTCTTTTTGGTACAGTGACTCTGAATACTCCTTCCATCTTCTTTTAATGCTTCCTGCATAATTCAATATTCTTCCCATAGCATTCTTAAGAATTGAGACTTGCGATTTGAAATTGCTCATTAGTTCCTTCAGCTTAAGAAATGCTGAGCCAAGTTCACCTCTTTTGATTTTTCATCTCTAGCTCACTGAACATTTAATTATAATACTTTACTTTGTCTTCCTGAGCTGCTCTCTGAAATCTTCTATTCAGTTCCTTAACTTCTATCTTTCTCTCCTTTGCTTTGATTTCTTGATGCTCTCAATTTAGCAAACTTTAGTGAAAGATTATGTTATGTTAGATGTGAAACCTGCACTTGGACAAGGAAGCAGTTGTCTAAATAGAGCAAGAACACACCGCATGGTTCAAAATTAGCAAAGAAGTGTGTCAGATATGTGTCCTGTCTCCATACCTTTTCAATCCATATGTGGAACAGATCATTTGAGAGGCTGGGCTTTATGAAGAAGAATGCAGCATCAGAGTTGACTCTACAATAGCCTGCATTATGCAGATGACACACCTTGCCTGCAGAAATTGAGGAGGACCTGAAGTGTTTGCTGTAGAAGGTCAACGACTGTAGTCTTCAATATGGATTGAAGCTCAACATCGAGAAGACAAAAGATTCTCACTACTGGGTCAATTGACAGCACCGTGATAGATGGAGAAGAGAGTGAGGTTGTTAAAAATTACATCTTACTTGGCTCCACAATTGATACTCTCAGCACCAGCATTCAGGAAATCAACAGGCAAATTGAACTGGGAAAATCTGCCATCAGGGACCTCTCCAGAGACTAAGAAACTACTATATAAGTCTAGAGACCAAGATGCACCTGATCTAGGCCTTTGCGTTCACAATTACTTGTTATACATCAGAGAGCTGGACAACATTTAAGGAAGACAGAAGAAGGATTGATGTCTTTGAGTTGTGGTGCTGGAGAAGAGTTGAATATTGCATGGATTTCCAAGAGAATAAACAGGTTTGTCCTGAAGAGAGTAGAAACCAAGCTGCTCCTTAGAGGCAAGGATTTTGAAGCTCTGTCTGACATACTTTGGACATATTTCCAGGAGGGACAAGTCTCTGGAGAGGGACATCAATGCTTAGAAGAGTGGAGGGACAGCACAAGAAGAAGAAGACTCTGTATGAGATGCATTAACACTGTAAATGAGTTAATGGGATTACGTTAATTGGGAATAGTGAGATTGGCTCAAGATAGAACAAGGTTCAGAGTTAAGAGTCTCAGGCAACTCAACAGCACATAGCAAGAAGCTAAGCATGATAAGAGTATTTACCAAAGATGCCTACTATGTAGTTCTTTCTCAGAAAGAGTGAGTAGTCAAATAACAGGTACTAGGAGAGAGAGGAAGAAATTTAACCAAATGGACTGACACAGGGACTGCTAAAATGGTCTCAAATGTGTCAGAAATAGCAAGGACAGAGCAGGATAGGAAAGGGTTCTGATCTGTTATTCATAGGGTTGCTATGGGTTGTATTTAACTCAACAGCACTTAATACCAACAACAAAAACAGTAAAATAAACGTTATCAGTCATGTATCTACACACACACACATAACAGTGGAATCAATTGAGGTCACAGGGGAGAGGTATCTTGTCTGGGCCATGAAGACTACGTTCAAAGGGCAAAGTGGAGAATATGGGGAAGCGCATCTTAGAACAGAGATAAAGATAAGCCACCAAAAAGAGTGAGAGAGTAAGCTTAAGAACATGGTGGAAAGATGTTCTGAAATAAGACAATAGCCTTCTTAGAGCACAGAGAGATTGAGGCAATGAAAGGAAATTAATTGAGTAAAAAAAAAAATAATAGTGGAGCTGTGTCTGAGGAGTTGAAGGCCAACTTTTTAAATTTGGCCATAAATCTATGGGCAATAGGGAATGATATTATGGTGGTTTTTCTTGCATGCAAGTTTTCTTTTAAAATAAAATTTTTTATTTTAATTTTGATTTTTAATGAAAGTTTACAGAAAAGTTAAATTTTCATTCATTCATTGTTGCACATTTTCACTTCCTCCTCACCCAGTTCACTTTTTTTTTAAACAAGCAAAAAAAAATTATTCAATCATTGTTACACAATTACCTAAATCCTCCTACCCTCCCCATAGTCCTCTTTGCAAAGTACCTCTGATTCTGGGATGTCTGGCTATGGTTTAAAAATTTTATTGACTTGGAGAAGGCATATTTCTAATTTAATTTAACTCTGATTTTTTTTGGATGTGTTGAGAAAGAGATAGATCTCAATTTTTTTTTCTGATAAACTTTTTAGGTTAAATATAACATTTCCTTCCTAAATTGTAGCTCTTTGAGTGTAAATATCTTCTTCTTCTTCTTCTTTTTTCCTTCTGTGTACCATCAAGTTGGACTATTAGACTGGCAAGAAGGAGATTGCCCCTCCTTCTCCAGCAGAATCAGGTGGATTTGAACCGCGTGCCTTTGGGATTGCAGTGCAGCTTCTTGCCACTAGGCCACCAGAGCTCCCTGAGTGTAAATATCTTCCAAACGTGATTTCCATATAGACATATTGCTCTTGAAGATGATGTAAGTGTTTATTATTGAGGCTCTGTTTCACATACTTTGGGCAGGTGGCCAGGAGGGCCAGTGCTTGGAGAGAGACATCACACTTGGAAGGGTGGAGGGACAATGCAGGACAGGAAGACCCAGGATGAGATGGATTGACTCCGTAATTGTAGCAATGGTATAACATCTGTCAGAGATGATGAAATTGGCTCAGGATAGGGCAGGTTGCAGCGTTTATGTGCATAAAGTTACTAACAGTCACAGATGACTCTATAGCACATAGTAACCTTGTATAAATAATCCAAAGTCAGGTGGTTCAAATCCATATGCTGCTCCACAGAAGAAAGATAGGCAACCTCCTTCTATGTGATTTATAGCTTCTGATCTGCTGGAGGCTTAGCTGTGACTCAAATATGATTCAGTGCCAATAAATTGAATCGAGTTGATGTTATATATGCAAAGATACGGATGCCTCCACCTTAGTATCTTTGATTCTTTCATGCCTAGTCCCGTGGCCTACACACTAGAAGTTCCCAATACATTTATTTTAAAGGACTGGAAAGTAATTAACTCAGAGGCTATTTCTCATCCTTTATAGAAAAAGCCATGCTTTAGAGGATAGTTTTGTAGTTGAAGATGAGTGTATGTAGGTTAATGGACCAGAATTTATTTCTCCAATTCTTCTTGAAATGCTTTCACTTAGTTAAAAATGTTTTTCCTCTCCATTAATCTTTACTGCTTGTGTTCTGTTTCTGAGTTTAAGAAAAGAGGATGGAAGTTCTTGCTAGGGCAATGTGACAAGATAAGAAAATAAAAGGCATCTAGATTAGCAAAGAGATGTTTAAATTATTGCTATATGCAGACGATATAATAGTGTACACAGAACACTCCAAAGACTCCACAAAAAACAGAGATAATAGGCCAGTTTAGTAGAGTGGCAGGATATAAGATCAATATCCAAAAATCAATAGGATTCCTCTACAGTAACAAAGAGAACTCAGAGATGGAAATAAAGAAAGCAGTACCACTTACAATAGCCAACCACAAACTGAAATACTAGGAGAACCTGACTAGAGATACAAAAGACCTATACAAAGAAAATGACAGAGTATTTCTGCAAGAAACAATAAAAGACCTAAAGAAATTGAAAAATGTTCCCTGTTCATGGATAGGAAGACTCAATAATGTGAAAATGACAATCCTGCCAAAAGCAATCTACATGTTAAGTGCAATCCCAATCCAGATACAACATTTATTTTTCAAGGAGATTGAAAGGGAATTTATAAATTTTTTTTTGGAGAGGCATGAGACCCTAAATAAGCAAAACACTTCTGAGAAACAAAAATGAGGTTGGAGGCATAGCACACCCTGACCTCAGAACCTACTACACAGCAATAGTAATCAACAGCATGGTTCTGGTACAATGACAGGCACATAGACCAATGTAACAGAATTGAGAACCCAGAAATAGACACAGCTATCTATAGTCAACTGATATTCAACAAGGAAATCAAAGCTATCAAATGGAGAAATGATACTCTCTTCAACAAGTGGTGCTGGCAAACCTGGACTTCTACCTGCAGAAAATTGAAACAGGATCCACATCTCACACCAAACACAAAAAATCAACTCAAGGTGGATCAGAGAAATAGGAGTAAAAGCCCAAATCATAGCGTTTATAAGAGACAAACTGGGATCAAGCTTAGAAGAGCTAGTCTAAAGTATAAAGAGACTGCCAAATACAACCAGAAATGCATAGCCTGAAAAGGATAAAATTGATGTATGAGACCTTCTAAATATTAAATCCATGTGTGCATCAAAAACTTTTTTCCAACTGGGTGAAAAGAAAACCTGCAGACTGGGAACAAACATTTGGTAATACCATCTCAGACAAGAAATCTTATAACAAGAGTTTACAGAATACTCCTGGCCTCCACAAGAAGAATACTCAACAACAAAATGGGCAACAGACATGGAAAGAATTTTCACAGAGGAAGACATTTGAATGGCAAACAGACACATGAAGAAATGCTCCAAATCATTGGCAATAAGAGAGATACAAATCAAAACCATCTCACTCTAGTAATAGTGGTAAAGTTTAACAGGTCAGCAAGTAATTAATGTTGCAGAGAATGTGGTGAGAAAAGAACTCTTATACATTGTTTATGGGATTGCAAAATGATACAACCATTCAGGAAGGCAGTTTGGTGCTTCTTCAAAAGAAATTCCATATGACCCACGTATTCCACTACTTGGAATATACCCTGAGAATATGAGAACTGAGGCACAAACAGAGATTTGTACACCAATGTTCATGGCAGCATTATTCACCATCGCAAGAACATGGAAACAGCCCAGATGTCCAACCACAAACGAATGGATTGAGAAATTATGGTACATTCACACAATGGAATACTACGCAGCACGCAGAGCAATGATTTTGTAAATTATTACCTAACTTGGGAGGGACTGGAGAGCATTATGCTGAGTGAGCTCAGTCCCACAGGATAACTATTATATTATTGTAGAATGAGTGTAAGTATCCAAGTGGGGGTGGAGGGTGGAAACAGAGGGATGAGGATGTGCAGGGTGAGGGGGGATTAATCATGGGGTTGTACAATTTGATGAGGGGGCGTGAGGGAAATTGAAAAAATCTTTTTTTGAAAACAATTCATTCAAATTTTGTAAGTAAACTAGTATAAAATCTAAAAAAAATATTAAAAAAAAAGAAGAGGATAGAGAAAGTATCTCCATCTGAGGCTCTTAATCAAGCCTATTGGATTTTAATTTTGTTCGCTCTGCTCAAATCTCCAGTAGGAAGCAAAGATTATAAACCTTCTCAATTGAGTTCTTCTTGTTCACTGGAGAATAAACCCCACGCTGTGCAGAAAAACAACCTGAATAGTGGCTGAAGAATCAGGGATCCTGCTGGTGGTCAGTGAGCATCTCAAAAGCTCTCAAGTGGTTACTCCCAACCTGGCAAATCTAACAGGCTTGACATATTAGAGTCCTGAGTCCCTTTTTTTCTGACCTCCTTCCTCAGAGGAGAGCAGAGCAACTTGAAAAGCTTTTGTTATCAAAGCCCAGATAGGCAACAAGGACAGGTTTACCTGGTGCTAAACACGGGGCCTTGTTATTCTTGCATAACTTAGGCCTCTTTTAGAGCATCACCAGGCAGAGTCTGACTCATCATTTCACAACGATAAGAATTCTGCTTGATGGAAAAGCTGGCTGTAGCTCACCTGGTCTTCCAAGGCTGCACCCTGCTCCTTCAGGACAGCAATCATCCATATGCCACAAGCCTTGGTGCAAGTGGGGTTCAGGGTCTCCAAACCATCCAGTATTTCTTCCAGGAACATTTTTATTTCTTCAGCTGGGATGAATTTACTGAGGATCTGAGGATGCACCCAGAAAGACTCATGTTAGCAATCACCTTGCTATCTATCTGGGCACTTGCAACATGGAGTCAACACCCATTTGAGAACATTAGAGATCTCTGGTGGCTTAGTGGTAAGGAGTTGTGTTGCCAGCTCAAACACAGCAAGTTCGAACCCACTAGCTTCTCTGCAAGAGAAATATGGTCAATTTCCTCCCATGCAATTCACAGCTTTTGAAAACCCACTGGAAGATCAGCTATCAGTTGGTTCTAACTCCACATACGCCATGACACATTAACAGTAGACTATCGAGCTAGTTAGCACACAACTTCATACAAAGGCTTTATAGACACAGCACATAAATTGAAGGAAACTTCTAAAATAGAACATGGACGCCACCTTTTAATTCTAAACAAACTTTCCATGAAATTGTCTTATTTTATTCCTTCCATTTTTATTGACTGCCAGGATTATTGAGCAAATTTCGACTCCAAATCTTAGTTCTTAGTATATCTTGTCAGAGAAAAGTAATGTGTATGGAGTTCTGGTGTAGTTGTAAGAAGTTGCACTGCCAACCCACAGTCACATGGTTGAAATCTACCAGCTACTTTTTAGGAAAAAGATGGACAATCTCCTCCCATGCAATTTACTACCTCTGAAAACCCACCAGAAGGTCAGCTGTAAGTTGGTTCTGGCATGACAGAACATAGCAACAACGTAACAATACTAATATAGCAATTATATATTTATAAGGCACTTCCATAAACATTTAATATACCATATAGATGTCTTAAATATGTTGAAGAATAGCTAAAGCTTGAACATTTAGAGAATATTTTCAACATATATGAAATGTCATCCTAGCTACTTAGATCTCTTTACAATATCCTCACAGAGCAAGGATTATTCTATGCCCTCACTTTTCCATGTTCCAATGTGAAGAACAGTCAACATATGGACAACAAAAAGAAAATTTTACAATCTTAGTGAGTAGGAATAAAAACTATACAAAATGTAAGCACAATTTAAAAAATTTGAAAGCGTATTTAATATCTTTAGAATTGTTATTGGGTACTGTCTAGTTGGAACAGATCCATAGTTGACTCTCCAGAGGGTTTTCAGAGGCAGTTAATAGAACGGGAACACACTGGGCATCCTTCTTCTGCAGAACAGCCCGTGGATTCAAACCTCGTGCCTTCAGGTTTGCAGCACAGCTTCTGACAAGGACTCAAACAAGTTTTGTTAATTCATTAAGATACTGTTCATTGTTTTCACTGTGTTAACTGGTTGATATTAAATTAGCTAAAGGTGTTAAGCAGTCAAGTACCTGGCATATAATTAACAATAAATACTAAGAACTATTAAAGACAACCCAAACTGTACAGAACATTGGTGAGTAGGTTTATATGTCTCTTTGTTTAATGAAAATAGTATCTAGGAGAGCAGGATTTGGGAAATGTTAGTGAGTTCAAGGCCAAGTGTCTGAGGCTTTACACAAGAAAGAAGGCAATGATCATAAGTATGTAGGAAAACACCTTCCTATTCCCATGTAACTTCATTTTGAATTAAATATCCTGATGGTATTTAATGTAATTATCTTTGAGAAAAAATCAGCTCTTTTAAAAAAATAATTTTAATGAAAGTTTACAGAGACTTAGGGTTTCCAGTCATTCATTGTTGCACTTTTTCCCTGCCCACCCCCACCCCCTCAATTCACTCTTCCCCTTGAAAAGTAAAATGAAAACTCTTTCATTGTTATGCAATCCCTCCCCTCAAGTCCACTTCATTGTGCAACCTTAATTCTGGACTCCTGTCACGACAATAATACCAAATCATAAACAGTTCTCCCCCTTATCTGTTTCAATGCGGTATACATCATTCATCCCCTCCTTTTCTGTCTTCCCTCAACCCCAATGTCAGTTCCATTTTACAACAATGGCCCTATGCAACATTTGTCCTTTTGTGACTGAGATATTTCAATCAGCATAATGTCCTCCAGGGTCACCCATTTTGAATAATATTGCATGAGTTCCTTGTTTTTCAATACAGAGTAGTACTCCATTGTGTGAATATACCACAGCTTCTCTATCCATTCGTTTGTTGATGGGCTTGGGTTGTTTCCAGACCTTTGCTATTGTGAACAAAGCCACAATAAATATGGATGTGCGTATATCTGCTTGGGTGGTGGTTATTGTTTCTTTGGGTCAAATGATATTTCAATTTGCAGCTTTTTGAGAAAGCACCATACAGCCTTCCATAGTGGTTGCACCATTTTACACTCCCACCAACAGTGAATAAGTGTTTTAGTTTCTCCGCAACCTCGCCAGCATTTGTTGTTTGCTGTTCTGTTAAATTTTGCTATTCTTACTGGGGTGAGATGATATCTTGTAGTTGTTTTGATTTGCATCTCTCTTAGAGCTAGGGATTTTGAACATTTCTTCATGTGCTTGTTGGCCATCTGTATGTCTTCCTTGGTGAAGTGTCTGTTCATATCGTGTGCCCATTTTTCAGTTGGGTTATTTATCTTTATCTTGTTGTGGTGAAAATGAGCTGTTTCGAAGATTAGTTTGTAGGAAGCCATCCTGAGTAGATCTTAGCTTTGCTACAGATAACACTTCTGACACCCAGCCCTACCCTGTCCATCTCCGGTTACGCCTACCTCTTTACCTGTAAATCAACACCTTGGGGCATGCCCCTCCCTCTCTATTGTAAACTGATAGCCTAGGGCTGGGTTCCCTGGCAGCCCACCCTCCTCAGCTGCCTATTTATTGCAGAATTCTTCGAATAAACTTTCAGGCTTGATCAGAGAACTTTGACTTGCCTCATCTCTCATGTCCCTCTCCCTCTCCCCCTCTCAATCTGCACAGATCCCTCTCTAGAACACGTGTGAACCCGCAGGTCGGTTTCATTAGTAGTTGGCATATCCTAGGCTTTCCTTGACTCACCTTACAATGACAGTTTTGGTTTGTGTTGGTTTTTTGCTTCTGCCTCCAACTCCCTCCCACACCCCACATTTTTATAAGGAAAGGAACTCATATTTTTGAGCAGTTATTACATCATGTACTTCCTCAAGCATTTGATGAATGAATGTTAACCCAACTAGTTTTTCTTCCATATTTGTATCACTTTCTCATCAATCCTGTTACTGTCACCTTAGCACAACAAACTCTTAGTACAATCTTAGCAGCAGGGAGCCCTGGTGAGCTATTGGATAAGGATTGAGCTGCCAACATAGAGGCAGATGGTTTGAATCTGCTCTGTGAGAGAAAGATGGTTTATCTCCTTCTGTGTGATTTATAGCCCCTGACCATGCCCTGTAGGGTCAACTATGTTGTGTTAATGTTAGGTGCTGTCTAGCCAAGTATGATTCATAGTGACCCTGTGAACAGCAGATCTGAACCCTGTCCTATTCTCTGCCATGCTCATAATCTCTGACAGAGTTGAACCCACTGCTGCAGTCACTGTGTCAATGAATTGGTTCTGATCCAACAGAACATAATACAGTGCACAACAACAGCAGCAACACGTGCTATCACAGTGTCCCTCAAACTGACCTCACTGATTTTCTTTTCTCAGTCAGAATGATTTTAGAGAGGTAAGTCATGTCACGTTCTTCCTCTCAAAACTGTCGCAAGTCCTCAAACAGCCTCTGCAAATTATGGGAAGGCATCTACTTCCTAAACAGCATGCCTCTGGAAACTGTGAACTCTGATAAATAATGATGGTCATGGAAGGGCTTTTTGTTCATGAGGTTGCTATGAGTTGTGTTCAACTCAACAGCAAACAACAACAACCACCTCATCCTCCAGATATTCCCTTGCTTTCTGTAAAAATGTTGCTGTTGTTCGATGCCATCATGTTGAGTATGATGCATAGTGACCCTATGAACAGCACATCTGAACTCTGTCCTATCCTGTTTCATCCTCACATCTCCTGACACACTAAGGCTTACTGTGGCAGTCAGTGTGTCAATCCACCTGGTCAAGGGTCTTCCTGTCCTTCACCGATCTTCCACCCTTCCAATCATCGTGTCCTTCTTCAAGAAAACAGCCCCTCCTAGAAACATGTCTGAAGTATTTGAGGCAAAGCCTCATCATTCTTACCTCCAAAGAGCACTCTGGCTGCACCCTCTCCAAGGCATATTTGTTTCCTCTCTTGGCTGTCCATGGGATGTTCAGTGCTCTTCTCCAACACAACAGCTCAAAAGTGTCAGTTCTCCTTCTGGCAACCTTATTTCATTGTTCAACTCTCAGATGCTATTGGCTGCATCATAAGAGACTCACAGCAGCACGGTATGTTCAGAATCACAGAAAACCTGATGGCTTGAGACTTAGGCCATCACATCAGGGGCTGGTCAATGGGAGATGGGTATTGAATGCTGTAGGCAAAAGGAGGAAGGGATGGTGGTGGAGTAAGGAAGTGTGGGTGGGCAGCAACATTGAATCTATTGGTCATTGTTATAACTGGGCAAATGTCTTTCATCTGCTCTTTTCTGTGGAATGCTTGTCTGTCAGATACTATTATATATATTTAGAGGTTGAGACAGACTAGGAAGAAGGATTGGCCATCCACTTCTGAAATGATTGGCCTTCGAAAACCCTATGTACAGTAGAGCACACTTAGACTATCGCTTGGACTAGCAGACATGGCAATTGAGACTGAGATCTTAGAAACGGAAATACAGAGAAGAAGGAACAGCTATAAGCAGACACTACTGATTGGAATGTGGAATGTGAGAAGCATGAATGTAGGAAAATTGGACTTTGTTAAGAAAGAAATGGAATGCATAAATATTGACATAGTAGGTATTGGCGAAATGAGATAGCTTGGCACGGGACATTTTGAATCAGATGATTATATGGTTTACTATGCCGAGGATGAAAAGGTGAGGAAGAATGGGGTTGGTTTCATAATTTAAAAAGTCATTTCTAGAGCCATCCTGAAATACAATGTGGTGAGTCGCTTATTAAGTCCTCAAATTGACATCATTACTCCTAATAATTTGGAGAGGTCCCTACCTGTAGACTTTCCCAGTGCAATGCATCTCCTTATTTCCTAACTGCTGGTAACAAGGGTGTTAATTGTAGATCCAAGTAAAATGACGTTGTTAACAGTTTCAATCTCTTCTCCATCCATCATGATGTTGCTGATTGGTCCAGTTGTAAGAATCTTTGTTCATTTCACATTGAGATGCAATCCATAATTGAAGGCTGCATTCCTTGATCATCTGCAACAAGTGTCTTCCTCACTTTCAGGAAGCAAGGTTATGTAATGCAGGTTTTTGATGAGTCTCCCATCCAGTCCTGATGTCATACTCCTCTTCATAGAGTCCAACTTCTCAAATAATTCATTCAATATAAAGATTGAATAGGTATGGAGAGAGAATACAACCCTGACATGCCCCCTTCTTAATTTTAAACCATGCAGTGCTCACTTGTTCCGTGTGCACAACAGCCTCCTGATCCAGGTATAGGTTCCTCATGAGCACAGTCGAGTGCTCTGGGATTCACATTCTTCTCAATGTCAGCCACAACTTGTGATGATCCACACAGTCTTTGTATGGTCAAAAAAGCACAGATAGATATTCTTCTGGTATTCTTTACTTTCAGCCAGGATCCATCTGATATCAGCAATGATATCCCTATACTGATTTTATTGAAGGGAGCTCTAGTGGCCTAGTGGGTACAGAGTTGTGCTGCCAATAAAAAGATGAACAGAATTCACCAGATGCTCCTCAGGGGAAAAGATGGGCAATTTCCTCCCATTTGATTTATGGTGTCTGAAAACCCACAGGAGAATCAGCTAAGATTTGGTTCCAACTCAGTGGTAATAAGTTCATGTTTCTGCTGAATGCTTCACTGCCATCTTTGGAAACTCATAATATGCATAGAAATGACAGTTTTACAAATGGTGCCACCCTATATTGAAGTATTTTTGTCTGTTTCACAACTAGTACAAATATATATAGTGGTCCTGATGGTTCTGCTCAAAATTCACCATTGGCTTTTACTTTTAATAAAGTGGAAGCCAAGTTCCTTAGAACTCTTGTGGTTCTGGCATCAAATGCTTCTGAATCAGACCTCTTAGTGCTTCTCCGCCCGCATCTGTTATCATTTAGAACATTTGCACTTGGTGGTGTTGTATTCTAGCCTAAAATACTTTCTCCAGGCATGTCTATGGTTCACTCAGAGTGGTCTTTGATCAATCAGTCCTCCTCTAGTTCTATTGTCTTCTTTGATTTTAATTTTCTCAGTTATTACTACATGACCCAATATATTTGTCTGATACCATGTAGGAGGATGCAAGCTCATTGAGGACAGGGATTTTCTTTTCCTAACCTCAAAGCCTGTAACTTAAGCCTAGCGTATGGTAAGTGCTCAGGAGATATTAAGTGAGTGAATGAATGGTTGAGGAGATGAGTAGATTGATTGACCAATTCTCACACCAACTCTGAAAAGCAGG